TAAACCTATAGGGTAAGCGGAATTAAATTAACTTAAAACTGGGTAATTAATTAAAAATAAATTAAGAATTATTTTCTTAATTTATTATAAAATTAATAAAATAAATATTAATCCTTAATTAAATTAAAGATTATTCCCTTAATCTTATTTAAATTAATTAAATATATAAGTTTACTTCTTTACACTTATTTAAATAACTTAAATAGTTAATTATTAATATAAAATTAAGATTATAATATACTTTATAGCTTACTCTTTAAGTAATATTATTATTATTACTTATTACTTATAAGTCTCTTAACTAATCCGCTAATATAAACCATAGACTAAGTTTATCCCTTAGGAATCTTATAAGCCACTAACTATTTAGGATATTAGTGACTTAGGTCGTCATATAGTTTGACCCGCTCTGTAAACGGCTGTTTTTTCCTAGGTAACCTCATCCACTTGCGGAATAGCCTCTGACTCCGGTTCAAGCTCCTCAGACAGTGATTCTCGCCGGGTTTCTTCCAACGACGGAAGCTCAGCAAATATTGACCCTGGCTGAAGGTCGTTAGACTTGTGCTCATCCTGATTGGTGGCGCTAGCTTGGAGCTTGCCTAGCCACCCTTAGGTTTGAGATGAGAGCTTTCCTCTGATGATTGTAGTCCGCTTTTCGAGGAGTAATGCGAGTTCTTCCTCCTCTTTAGCACACAAAAACAACACAGTGTGTTAAGGCCAAGCACTGTTGTTTACATGTAAAATGGCCGCTACGTCTGAATTCTTTAGTGAATGGAAGGGTAGACGCTGAACTTGAACTCCACTCCCCACAGTGGATGAGGAATTTTTAACTAAAGCCCCGCCCCAGGTCACCGAGCCTACGTGTAATTTCGGGCCCGGCCCCGTGCCATTGTCATGTACCAAAATTTGATGGGACAAGATGTGGTCGTTCAATGCCAGAGATATCGGCATCCAGGGAAGAAACAGACGGCCTATAATAAGGTATCCATTCTACATTGTAACGATACTGGTGGCGCGGCGTTTATAGGAGGCCAGAGACTCGGCCAATTCCTGAAATATGACCAACAGAGCGTAAGTTTGGCAACAATATACCACACATATAGGTTCCAAGCAAGAGGTACAAGAACATGAACTTGTGCCGTGTGCCGTGTGCCCTAGTCTAGTCCTTCGGTATGCTGTACATTGTGTCTCCAATCAAAGCACGACTCCCACACATGGCCAGCCCTCAGGATCTTCAACTCCTGCCACAACCCTCCGACAAGCTGCATCCCCATGGGCAGCAAAACGGTTTTGTCGTCTTTGGCTGGTGCGAAGCCAACAGGTATCGACATGGCCGGGTGGCCCGTGACGTTGAAAATGGCCGTGTTGATTGTCAGTCCCATACTCGGCGTTGCGGATTCAATGGGGAGTCCGCCGCGCCGTCCATGCCTGGGGGCCACGACAGGGACGGTCGGCGTGATCAAGACGTCGTATTCCCGAAATACTGCCTCGTACGCATCGCGTAGTTGCCGCCCGATATTAACACTCTTGCCGTAGAGGCCGGGAAACTCTGACATGAGGTGCAGGCCATTGATGATGACGTTTTTCGTAGAAGTTGACGATCTTCTGAACGAATCGGCGGTCCATGGCAGGGTTTTACCATGAAGTCCCGTGGGATAAAGCTCCCTCCTACCCGTATTGCGGCCGAGAAGAGTCTGTGTGCCGGAAATTCGCTGTTGGATCGTCCATATGGCAGGGCCTAGGTTGTGGTCTGGGATGGACACGTCTTCCACGACAGCACCAAGGTCTTGAAACCGCTTCGCGGCAGCCAGAACCGCTTCTCGGATGACAGGATCCAGTGACGCATGTTGGAATGCTTCCGTGATCAGGCCGACTCGGAAACCATCCAGGCGAGTAGCAGAGCCTTGTGAAATGGTGGCTGCAAAGTTTGTAGAACCCGGCTTGGGGCTGGCCAACGCCCTATCATCGATACCATCGTAGCCACTGATCACGTCCAGGCACAGAGCCGCGTCTAGGGTGTTTCGTGTCATAGGACCAACGTGGTCGTCCAAGGCGTCGCCGCTGCTTATGCCCGTAAAGGGGACGCGGCCGTGTGTGGGCTTGATCCCCACACCTGGAGAGACACGAACAAGAACAAGTGGTCAGCCTGACATATACACTTCAGCAATGTATGGTAGTTAACGTGTACTTACAACCGCACATGGCTGCAGGGACTCGGATGCTGCCGCCCTGGTCGGTCCCTATCGTCACATCTACCAATCCAGCTGCCACGAGAGCTGCGCCCCCAGAAGTGCTGCCTCCGGCCGAATATCCCCGAGCATGCGGGTTCTCAACTGTGCCTTGCGCGCTCGTAAACGAGGACGTCGAGTGGCACAGGTCCTCGCAGGTCGACGTCCCGCGGATGTCAGCCCCGGCTTCCAGCAGTCGCGTAACCACCGTGGCGTCAAACTCGGGGGTCCAGGATGGAATTACACGGCTCCCTTGCAGCTGCGGCACGCCAGCAACGGCAATCACATCCTTGAGATTGACGGATCTGCCGATCAGGCGGCCACCACCCTCGCGATCTCCGGCGATGAAGAAGCGGTGCGCCCAGGCTTGGCCCAGCCCCTGCTCCTCCTCCTCTGCTGCTGGTTGCCGTATATTCTGGCGCGGGTAGCGACTTAGCCGAGAATTAAGCTGGTAGTCCGGCAAGGCAGCCACGGTCTCGGCGCAGTCATGAACAGCGGCCAGGAGTCTGCGGAAATCTTGAGCCTCTGATGGATCAATGCTCAAGCCAAGGCTTGCGAGCAGAGATTCCACACTCCCTTCTTTGACGGGGTTGTCGCTGCAAGATTTAGGAAGAAAAGGTCAGTATCTGTAGTGCTCAACAACTTCGCTCTCGCCCCCAATGGCAGAACAGAAAGCTGGTGCTTGGTGTATCTTACGCTGAAATGCTTGTCATAAAAACCGACATGTTCAGTTCTCAAAGCTTCGACGCTCATAATGAATCAAAAGCGTCCAGAGCCATCACGATGGATCAAACGGTTCGATGAATCCTTTATAGCACCTTGCCAAGCATGAAGCCCAAAATGGCCATGATGCCCAGGTTTTGTCCAAGTCCCGAGGTCGGTGGTTAAGAGGCTATAGTTTCCTAAATAGGCAACACACCATGGAGTTGGCGATTCGCCTGAAATGGTGCTGATGCGCACCCTTTCGACCATTGAGGTTCATTCAATGAGCCTTGTTTTCTACAAATTAGACATGTTCTCGTGGGCTCCTTTCCCCTTGAACGAGCTAATAAATACCCGCCAGGGTCCTCTCATTGTGCCCACGATTTACTGATTTGTTCCCAGACTCGCCCTCGAGCTGTCTGTTTTGGGTCCTCGAACCACTTTCCCCTGCCTCCAGCATCCTCCTTGTCACTTCTGGCACATCACAGCATGGGCCCAAAGCGCGTTCTCATAACCTACGGCGTGGACGTTGATGCTGTCGCGGGGTGGCTCGGCTCTTATGGCGGCGAAGACTCCGTGAATGACATCAGTCGCGGTGCGCTCCAGCAGCCTTTCCTCATGACATGTCGGAACTAAATATGCTGATCGCCGCTTCAGGGGTGTGGGCGGCCACAGTCGGCACGAGACGGCTGCTGAAGATGTTCGACAAGTACCAAATCAAGGCAACCTGGTTCATTCCGGGCCATAGTCTCGAGTCATTCCCGCAAGACATGGCAGCTGTTCGGGATGCCGGCCACGAGATCGGCTTGCATGGATACTCGCACGAGAACCCGGCCGACATGACCATTGAGCAGCAGCGCGACGTGCTCGACAAGACGTATCGTCTACTGACTGGGTTCGCAGGGAAGCCACCTCGCGGTAGTGTCGCTCCATGGTATGCTGCTTCCCCTTGCCTGTCCGTCATGTCGCGCGACGAGTTCTGACAAGAAGCGGCGGGAAACCTAGGTGGGAGACCAGCCGAGAGGGCGCCGAGCTTCTGCTTGACTACGGCATAGAGTACGATCACAGCATGAGCTACGAAGATTGTCAGTGCCATTATCTTCGGACAGGCGATTCTTGGACCAAGATAGACTACACGAAAAAGGCCACCGACTGGATGAAGCCGCTGAAATACGGCACAGAGACGGGACTGGTGGAGATTCCATCCAATTGGTATCTGGATGACCTTCCGCCCATGATGTTCATCAAAAAGGCGCCCAATAGCCACGGCTTTGTTAACCCGAGAGACATCGAGGACATATGGCGCGACCACTTTGACTACTTTTACCGCGAGCACGACGAGTTCGTCTTGCCACTTACTATCCACCCGGACGTCTCCGGACGCCCGCATGTCCTTTTGATGCATGAACGGTAGACACATTGGCAATCCGATTGAGGGCATGATGAGATGACTGATTCTTGTGTTAACAGACTGATTGAGTACTTTTCAAAGCACGACGGTGTTCACTTCGTGACGATGGGACAAGCATGTGACGAATTCAAGGCAAAGAATCCCAAAAAGGCAGCATCTCTAGGTGCTGCCGGAGCACTTGATGCCGACAATGTTGCCACACACAACAAAATAGGCATTGACTCGAGATCTAGAGCTTGAAACAAAAAAGTTTTATACACTCCTTGTCTACCAATGAATAAAATACGTGTATATTGATCTCAGCTACCACTAACTTGGCCCTTAGGAGGCCACGCCACTATTCCTGCAGAACGTCAGACGTTTGGGTATTCGGGAATGAGTAAGTAATTGATGTGGGGGACTCACCAAATGTCAGGCTTGTTGCGGATGAAATCATCCAAGAGCCTTTCACACCTCTCATCCCCCAGCACTACAACCTCGATCCCGTGTGAACGTAGATAGCCCTCCCTGCCAGCCATGTTCTTGTTTTCGCCAATAACAACTTTTCTGACCCCAAAAAACACCATGGCTCCAGCGCACATGGGGCAAGGCGACAGAGTTGTGTAGATTGTGGAATCCTTGAAGGCGCTGATGGGAAGATGCTTGGCATTTTCGAAAGCGGCCGTCTCGCCCTGTATCCATCATGGTTCAGTCTAAACGTTTGCCCTCTTCCCCCTTTCCTCTTCCCATAATAATATAAAAAAAAAACGCATGGGGCAGCGAGATTGAAAAGAAAGAGAGAGACTGGGGAGTTAGGGGAGGGTAGGGACTACTGAGATTGGGGACCTACATGCAAGATCAGGCTCCCCTCTTGCACGCGCCGGTTGTGGCCCCTGCCGAGAAGCTCTCCGCTGGGGCTCACAACAGCACCACCGACCGGGATGCCCCCTGCGTCAAAGCTTTGTTGCGCTTCAGCAAGCGCTGCGATGAATCCGGGGTCGGTGGCAGACATAATGATCCGCCACACTCTGATTGGTGGGTAGTGATTTGCTGGGAGCACTTGAGTTCCTGGGGCAGGAAGTTGCAGAGAAATGGAAGAAGATTGTTGAAGAGTGAAGGCATGCCAGGTGTCTGGAATTTATACAACAAATGCGCTGGAAACAAGGCTAATGGATTGATAGCATATCTCCTGCTCCGTACAGACCCGTAAGAAGCCACACTCTCCACTTATTTATGAACGCTCTGTG